GGCAGGTAATATGAAATAAGGTATTTCCAGTGTACCGGAATACTTTTAGAGCACTTTAATGAGTATTTTTAAGACCCTACTTTTATCTTTTCAAATTGCAGGGAAGAGAATTGAATTTAAAAAATTCCGAAAAGGATTTCTTATTTTATTTTCTTGTATGTTTGATTTTATGTCAAGTATAATCAAACACGGAATATCTACTAGTAAATGAAACTAATCTCATCCCATCTATTGTGGAAAATTTTTACCAAAAATAGTTAAATATTACCCCGCACGAATTATGAATTTGAGGGCGTGCTTTGGCGGCCTTAAGCCCAACAACCAATACACTTATTATACACTTATTTTGTATAAGGTAGACTGGGGCAAATCGGTTGTAAAATTTGAATAGTTTGAATGCACTTTTCTCAGTGTAGCCATCATTACGGGATCGTCGTTACACTGAGAAAAAACGATTCTTTAATGACGAATTCGTATAAATACTGTGGTTAATGTAGATATAATAGATGATGCAGAGGAAGAAATTAATGTGGTAAGGTAGACTGGGGCAAATCGGTTGTAAAATTTGAATAGTTTAAATTAAATCCTAAAATGTGGCTTTATTTTTTCTCTTATTAGAAATGCTGATACCACATTAAATTCACAACTTCCTAAACTAAAGAATCGAGGTATTAAGTTTTTTTTTTAAAAGGAAGAAAACGATTCAACATATTTTTTAAAATGTTGACAATATGTTACATTTACCCCATGGTACGGGGTAAATGTAACAAACGATTATAGACAAACAATTATAGAGAAAAACATATGGGGCAATTATAAACACATATTTGTTTCCTCTAAAATTTGATATGCTGTTTATTTATTTATTTCAAAAAATAACAGAACTACAAAATAATAAATAAAAAATAAGAAACAAACCCTGTCTAATGCACAAAAGAACTATAAAAATAATAAAAACACTAACATAATAGGTAAAAATATTACATTTACCCCATTTTTACATTTGCCCTAGTCTACCTTATGCCTAATGAATAAACGATTGCATACAACTTCACCTTTCTACTATAATATCCAAAAGAGCGCTTTAAAGGAGTTTATTCTCGAGAGATTTTTTTTTTGGTTCGTTAATACTTGAGGCGATCGTAAATTCATGTCAGGGTCTCGTTTGATATTGTTTCGAGAGTATATTACACCTTGGCCTTAGTCAATACATCTTTCTCGTTCGATAAAATTGGGTCGAATTCGATTTTACCTGATCGATTACTTTCGATGTATCGTTTATTGATTACACGAAATAACGATCGAATTTGTGAGATCAAAATACAGGGTGTTCCTAAACATCGTGTACATCCGAAAGGGGGTGATTCCTTGGCTTATTTTATGACTAAAAGTTAATTCATATAAACGTGGGTCGGCAAATGCTTCTTTATCGATCTACAGGGTGTTGAAATTTCAATTTTTTTTGGTTTTTTCTTTGTAGCTACTGCACTGAGAAAAATGTTGAGTTATATGTAACCAATGTGGTTAAGAATTATGCTATGAGAGAATCAAAATCCGACATAACCAATTTTTATTAGGATATACCCAATAATTGACTATTAAATTAGTAATATACGATGTATTCCTTAAAATAAAATGTTGATTAATATTAAAAATACTTTAAAAATATATTTATTGCCACTATTAATGATATCAACACAACTACACCAGGTTATTAACAAACTTTTCTAGGTTTTTTTATGAACTCGATAGATTAATAATAAATACACTAATATTTATTTTAAAACCAACCTGAATTTATTTTTAATTAACTCTCAATTGTATTTACCTATATTAGGTTCATTTATACAGGATGACTTGTATTGCTACTTTTATATTTAGGTTAGTTTTTAGTAAAATCAGTTCTAATTTCGGTTTTAACTGATTTTACTGAAAACTATCCCAAAAATATAAAAGTAGAAATACAAGTCATCATGTAAATAAAACGGGAAAATAAGAATTGTTGCAAATGGAAAATGCTTAATAAAGGTATTTGAAAATATTTATTAAGTGCATGCACTTTATGAGAGTAGATTTACCAATGCATTTTGTAAATTTGTGTACTTTTATACAATAAATATATCTTTTTTGGAATTTATTGCGACTACATTAATCTACCACAAACCAATTTAGACGAAAAAAAGTACCCCGGTCGTCGCGTCCACCTGATTTAACCCTTGTATAGAAAAACAATATATGTACAGGGTGTTCCTAAACATCGTGTACATCCGAAAGGGGGTGATTCATTGGCTTATTTTATGACTAAAAGTTCATATAAACATAGGTCCGCAAACGCTTGGTTACCAATCTACAGGGTGTTGAAATTTCAAGATTTTTTTTGTTTTTTCTTTGTAGCTCCTGCACTTTTTGAAATATTTAGCTCAAATTTTGAATCTAGATTGCTTTATAGGGCACACATTATTGGGTATATTAAATGGTTGTTGAATTCTACAGGGTGATATTTTTTCAGGGGTAATGTACTCTTTTTTCCCCCGAACTTTTTTGCTGTGCGCCGCTGGTAGATTCTAAAATACAAAATTAATTGTCTGCTTTGTTTAGAAACTTTTTTTATTTTTGAACTTTTTTCGTTTCTTTGACCGTTATCGAGAAAAAAATTAAAAATGATTTTCTGTACAAATGATTTATTTAACAAAACAAAAACCCTAAATAATAACTATTAAATTAAATTATAATAAATGTTGAAAGTGACCCCCTCCTACTCAAATTACACTCTATACCCTATATTCTATACCTATAATTTGAGCTAAATATCTCAAAAACTGCAGTAGCTCTAAAACAGAAACAAAAAAAAATTGAAATTTCAACACCCTGTAGATCGATAAAGAAGCATTTGCAGATCTATGTTAATATGAACTTTTAGTCATAAAATAAGCCAATGAATCACCCTCTTTCGCATGTACACGATATTTAGGAACACCCTGTATACTGCTCCACAAAAGTTAAGGAAGTTTATAAATATTGAGATTTAATTTGCAGGTTTTTTGATCGCCAAATTTAGTATGAATTGTAGAGATAGGCGCAAAAAATCCACTCAGATATGAGAAAAAAACATTTAATTTCGCAAATTTGAAAATTTGGCGATCAAAAAGTCTGTAACTTTTAAAATAATCGCAAAATTTGCGACCTTCCTTAACTTTTATGGAGCAGTTTATTAACCCGAACTAATCGATATGAGTTTAAAAAAAATAAGTTTTTGCGTTATTATTTATTACCTTCAATTATTACTTGTAATTAAAATGTGAGTTATTGCGTATAGACAATTAGAAGTAATTTACTAATCGTTATTGATGCAGGGTGGTACTCGAAATATTTATTAGAGAAAAGTACATGTGGAGCTTAAATAGGGTTTTTTCTTTATTCAATAATCGACGACTCAAAACAAAAATCGAGCTAAAAATACTCCTGTACCACGGAGATTTATTTATGAATGTTTACCAGGTAGTATGAATACATGCATATAAAAATAGTCTTGTTTTATTTGTAAGTCTTGGCGTATTGAGGTGTTTTCGATGCGTGCTTAGCTCATTTACGTTTTAGATATTAAAGAATTATTTAAACAATGTTTGCGGTTTATAAAAAAAAGTATATATTCGAGTTTCCGGTAACAAATTCTATACAGAATTGGTTACTTTAAACGAGCAATTGTGTACCCTTTAATTACAACTCCCAGAAACTGATAAATTCCTTAGAAAACATCGAAATAATTACACCTAATTTGGAAATACATATACAAATTCCCGGTGACTAATAGACCGAAAATTACCATAAAGCACCAGTAACCTGACCTGTATACTTGTGTACACCCTGTATAACCTTCGAGTTAAAGAATAATTGCTTTCCGACTCGGACGTACGATTGTTATACATATTATTTCGAACAGTTCTATTATATTCGTCGACGGATGTTAACACAAAAGCGCGCGGAAAGGAAAATATAATATACTAATAATTTACCGCTTATATTACACGGCTCTAACGAAGAATAGAACTTTCGGTTTTGTATTTAGTGGTTAAATAAGTGAAGTGGAAATGAATGAGTGGGATCTTCAACTGGCCAAAGCGTTGGTGGACGAGGAAAAAAGGCAAATCGATGAAGGGGGATTCCCCAATGGGGGACAGAAGAAAACCGTACTCACCAAAGCGGTGGATAAATTCGATAAGTTATTGAGGTAAGAGTGAATTATTATTGATGTAAACAACAAAAATTTGTTATTTAGTTATCAGAAAAAATTATTTTTTTGGAAAAAAAGGCGAAAAATAAATTGCACTGCCCGGGAATCGAACCCGGGTCGCAAGAATGGGAATCTTGCATGATACCACTACACCAGCAGTGCTCATTGCTTAACGATCAATATACACCTTTATTAGCTCAACTAGATGCGCTATGTATTTTGTGTTGCCTACGTTCCAGACTTAAACTAATACAAAACCGAATCTTATTGCAAGTTTTCACTTAACTAAAATATAAACCTAATCCGATATTTACTTTACAGACTTGCAAATATCGCAACAAAAAAATTTAATTTGTATAAAAAAAATTAAAAAATATATCGGAAATCGAACCCGAATCTCCTGGGCGAGAGCCAGGTATCATAGCAACTAGTCTATAACGCAATACGTGCCGCGATTTTTCTATATAGTACTTAAATTATAAATCTCATTAACAGAATTATTTTGACAATAACCGCGCATGCGTACAAGGTACTTACAACCAAATCAAAATAATAATAATACATTTTTCAATTAAAAACACGCCAATATTTTGTGATTGATAACGAATCTAATTCAACAAAAAAATACGATGTGAAAATCAACAACTAACGTGCACGTTCATACAATAAAATCGTGTTAAATACTCCGCATAAAGTAATAGCGAGTTTTGAACTTTCCCTATAAAAAAATCCGTGATAAATGTAGTGGATAATTGGAAAACAGAGAGAAATGTCCTCGTCGATTTGGACCGGATCAGAAGTGGATTTGTCCACATTACACCGATGTAGGTCAGCGAATAGGTTAGAATTTCGCTTGACCTGTTTGCGTAACAAAAAGTCCACTGGAAAAATGCACGATGAAAACGGGCGATCGTTCGACGATTTAAATAACGGTACTCGTCAAACGAGATCGGGAACTTGGCCGTAAGTACCTCTAAAAGAGGCCTTTTTTTTTCAATAAAAATAAATAAACAAAACGTCAGACATAAGGTTTGGAGGTTAGGAAAATTGTCTTGTCAAATTGTCAAAATTTTCGAGTGTATTTCGTTGCTATTTACGTTGCTTTGCATGTAATTGAAAAGTGTAGGATGAATTTAAATGTTGTGGAAAATAAAAAGCCTGTTGAGAGTGCTGAAATTAATCCTAAATGGTGAGAAAATGATTATTTATTAAGAGGTTTTAGTGTATGTATTGATATATCCGGTATGGTCTAGTGGCTAGGATACCTGGCTCTCACCCAGGAGGCTCGGGTTCGATTCCCGGTACCGGAATATCTTTTTTCCAATTTTTTTTTCGGTAATTTTTAATTACGAATATTTTTCGATAACTCGGTAACAAAAAAAATAGTTTTATTTAATTTTAATGGTAAATAAAACGTTTTTTAACTAGTCGTTATGCAACAAATTAAACGAGAAAAGTAGAAATGTGTTTACAATTAAATCGTAAAATACAATTTAAATTTATCTTATTATCTAAACAATTTTTTGAACTTTACTCACACTCAATCACGCTGCTTAGTTGAGTAGTAGAGTTTGTGTTGTTGTTTCGACAATACTCAATAAAATTTATTTATTCAAAATGAACAATAACACTTACCAAAGATGTATAAGTTTAAAAGAAGAAAAGGAGATGAATCGAATTTTTAGGAGGTAAATTTCGATACATAAACCTCCACTGTATATTGCATAATATTAATTAACTTTTTTATACAATTACTTTGTTTCGTTTAAAACGAAATTTATATAAAAAATTGTTTTCCAACAGGCGAACTCGATCTTTAAACGCTCCATCGCCCGTGCAACAATTCGGACCATGTGGAAGGATAATGAAAAATTCCTCTATGGTAATGTAAGTACCCATTCAATTTTATTCTGTCGTCGTGTTTGTTAAATGCCGCGGAATATGATTCGTTATTAATGCAGGTGAACGAAATTATAATTTCCTTTATTCCATCGAAGAAAAAAAAAATAAATACATTCGGTATTGTTTACGTATCACGATGACGATACATAAATAATCCTATTGTTACTATTTTTTTTGTTAAATCAATCAGTTAGTTAATTATTAAACGTTAATTTGCTAATTAATTTGTATTGCAATTCGATTTATTTAATGCGCTTTGTATAAAAAAAAAACAGTTAAAATGTTAACAAAGTTATAAATTTTCTCGATAGAAAACACAAAGAAAGTATGCGGGAGCGGCCAATACACGAATAGATATAATTAGTGATATAATAAAATAAAATATACACGTTTTTTCTTGTTAGGAATCCTTCAATATCGTTGAAACAATCGAGCACAAGGCACTTGTTTATACTGGTGTTGTGATGAAATTTACCTAATATATGTACTAATACAGTAGATACAGAGTAGATTCAGAGTAGATTCAGAGTAGATTCAGAGTAGATTCAGAGTAGATTATTTACAGAGTTGAGTAGATTTAGAGTAGATTCAGTATGGAGTTGAATTGATTGAAAGTAGGGTCAGAGTAGAATTAGATTCAGTGTAGGTTCAGAGCAGATTCCGAGTAAGTTCAGGGCATAGATTCAGTGTACATTCAGAGTAGATTGTTTACAGAGTTGAGTAGATTTAGAGTAGATTCAGTATGGAGTTGAATTGATTTAAAGTAGGGTCAGAGTAGAATTAGATTCAGTGTAGGTTCAGAGCAGATTCCGAGTAAGTTCAGGGTATAGATTCAGTGTACATTCAGAGTAGATTATTTACAGAGTTGAGTAGATAGATTCAGTATGGAGTGGAATTGATTTAAAGTAGGGTCAGAGTAGATTTAGATTTAGTGTAGGTTTAGAGCAGATTCCGAGTAAGTTCAGGGTAACTTAATGTATAGATGCAGTGTGCATTCAGAGTATATTCAGAGCAGTAGAATCGGCTTAGATTTAGTGTACATTTAGAGTAGGTTTAGAGTAGATTTATACTTCTATTAGAGTAGATATAGATTCGGAGTAAATTTAGAGTAGATTCAGAGTAGAGTTCAGAATAAATTCAGGGTAGTTTGATAGTAAGTTCGAAGTAGATTCAGTGTAGAGTCACTGTAGAATCTAAATAAATTCTGAGCAGTAGATTCCAGAATAGATTCAGAGAGATTCAGGGTAGTTTGAGGGTATGTTCGGGGTAGATTCAGTGTAGGTTCAGAGCAGATTTCTCGAGTAAGTTTAGAGTAGATTCAGTGTAGTTTGAGGGTATGTTGGGAGCAGATTCAGAGTTAAGTAGATTCAAAGTTGATTTAGAGAGTAAATTCAGAATAGATTCAGAGCAGTGGAACCAGATTAGAGTCATTGTAGATTCAGAGTAGGTTTAGAGTAGATTGATAATACAAAGGTTTAGAGTAGAGTTAGAATTCTGTTAGAGTAGATTTGGAGTAAGTTCAGATTAGATTCAGTGTAGATTCAATGTAGAGTCTTAGAGTAGATTTGGAGTAGAATAGAATTGAATAGGCTTGAGTGGGGAAAATAATTTGCTGTAAATAAAAATTTATCAATTATCCAAAGATTTATTTGTGCCCAATTTGCCTATAGTAATAATACTCCTATAACCTACTTTTGTGCTCCTTACAATGTAATTTACCATTCGTATTTCAAAATTTTCGTAAAACTGTTCATTACCGATTAACTCGTAATTACATTCTTCTCTAATTACCCACACGTAACATCGAACTAATGATACAGGTAATTAAAATTACCACAATTCTAACAAAAAAAATCAATAAACTCCACTCTCGTCACGAAATAATTAAAAAATATAGCTAAGGTAGACTGGGACCAGTGATGTTAAAATTACTTTATAATATGTAATTAATTACAATTACAATTACTTTTGGCAATTTGTAATTAATTGCAATTATAATTACATTCACAATTACTTTGCTTTGGTGTCAGTTTTAAATAATTATTTAGGGATTTGCAATCGGAATTAAACTTTCCACGTATTGAAAATATTAAATAAGTACTTTTGTGTCCAATGTAATTGAAATGTAATTGTAATTGTAACGAAAGGAGTAATTGAATTACAAATGAATTACAAACTTTTTAATACCTCGATTCTTTAGTTCAGGAAGTTGTGAATTTAATGTGGTATCAGCATTTCAAATAAGAGAAAAAATAAAGCCACATTCCAGGATTTAATTTGAACTATTCAAATTTTACAACCGATTTGCCCCACTCTACCTTATTTTTTTATTATTTCGTGACGAGAGTGGAGTTTATTGATTTTTTTTGTTAGAATTGTTGTAATTTTAATTACCTGTACCATTAGTTCGATGTTACGTGTAGGTAATTAGTGAAGAATGTAATTACTAGTTAATTGGTAATGAACAGTTTTACGAAAATTTTGAAATACGAATGGTAAATTAGACTGTAAGGAGGACAAAAGGGGGTTATAGGAGTATTATTACTATAGGTAAATTGGGCACAGACGTCCCTGAAAACGGGCACAAATAAATCTTTTGATGATAATCTTTTGATAATAAATTTTTTTACAGCCAATTATTTTCCCCACTCAACCCTATTCAAATCTGGTCTACTCCAAATCTACTCTAAACTTATGTATTATCAATCTACTCTAAACCTACACTGAATCTACCCCGTACCATGGGGTAAATGTAACAAACGGTTCTAAAGTGCAATACAATTATATAGAAAAACGTATTGGGCAATTGTAAATACTTATTTAGTTCCTTTAAAATTTGATATGATGTTTATTTATGATGTTTGATATGAGCTACAAAATAATAAAGAAAAAATAAGAAACAAACCCTGTCTAATGCACAAAAGAACTATAAAAATAATAAAAAACATTAACATAATAGGTAAAAATATTACATTTACCCCATTTTTACATTTGCTCCAGTCTACCTTATATCAAACTTAATGTAATAATTTCTAATGTACCTAAGTAGTTCAAAAATTCTATTAAAATTTAATGATTTTTTCCATTTATCTGCTATTTTTCATTAACTTTTACATATATAGGTAATCTTCAATTTTACTTCACAATTAAACATTACTTGCATATTAGCACTTCTTTTTCTTGCTAAAATTTGATATGCTGATTATTTATTTATTTAAAAAAATAACAGAGCTACGAAATAATAAAGAAAAAATAAAAAGAACTATAAAAATAATAAAAAACATTAACATAATAGGTAAAAATATTACATTTACCCCATTTTTTCATTTGCTCCAGTCTACCTTATATCAAACTTAATGTAATAATTTCTAATGTACCTAAGTAGTTCAAAAATTCTATTAAAATTTAATGATTTTTTCCATATATCTGCTATTTTTCATTAACTTTTATATAGGTAATCTTCAATTTTACTTCACAATTAAACATTACTTGCGTATTAGCACTTCTTTTTCTTGCTAAAATTTGATATGCTGATTATTTATTTATTTAAAAAAATAACAGAGCTACGAAATAATAAAGAAAAAATAAAAAGAACTATAAAAATAATAAAAAACATTAACATAATAGGTAAAAATATTACATTTACCCCATTTTTTCATTTGCTCCAGTCTACCTTATATCAAACTTAATGTAATAATTTCTAATGTACCTAAGTAGTTCAAAAATTCTATTAAAATTTAATGATTTTTTCCATATATCTGCTATTTTTCATTAACTTTTATATAGGTAATCTTCAATTTTACTTCACAATTAAACATTACTTGCATATTAGCACTTCTTTTTCTTGCTAAAATTTGATATGCTGTTTATTTATTTATTTCAAAAAATAACAGAGCTACAAAATAATAAATAAAAAATAAGAAACAAACCATGTCTAATGAACAAAAGAACTATAAAAATAATAAAAACATTAACATAATAGGTAAAAATATTACATTTACCCCATTTTTACATTTGCTCCAGTCTACCTTATATCAAACTTAATGTAATAATTTCTAATGTACCTAAGTAGTTCAAAAATTCTATTAAAATTTAATGATTTTTTCCATATATCTGCTATTTTTCATTAACTTTTACATATATAGGTAATCTTCAATTTTACTTCACAATTAAACATTACTTGCATATTAGCACTTCTTTTTCTTGCTAAAATTTGATATGCTGTTTATTTATTTATTTAAAAAAATAACAGAGCTACGAAATAATAAAGAAAAAATAAAAAGAACTATAAAAATAATAAAAAACATTAACATAATAGGTAAAAATATTACATTTACCCCATTTTTTCATTTGCTCCAGTCTACCTTATATCAAACTTAATGTAATAATTTCTAATGTACCTAAGTAGTTCAAAAATTCTATTAAAATTTAATGATTTTTTCCATATATCTGCTATTTTTCATTAACTTTTATATAGGTAATCTTCAATTTTACTTCACAATTAAACATTACTTGCATATTAGCACTTCTTTTTCTTGCTAAAATTTGTTATGCTGTTTATTTATTTATTTAAAAAAATAACAGAGCTACGAAATAATAAAGAAAAAATAAAAAGAACTATAAAAACAATAAAAACATTAACATAATAGGTAAAAATATTACATTTACCCCATTTTTACATTTGCTCCAGTTTACCTTATATCAAACTTAATGTAATAATTTCTAATGTACCTAAGCAGTTCAAAAAATCTATTAAAATTTAATGATTTTTCCCATATATCTGCTATTTTTCATTAACTTTTATATAGGTAATCTTCAATTTTACTTCACAATTAAACATTACTTGCATATTAGCACTTCTTTTTCTTGCTAAAATTTGTTATGCTGTTTATTTATTTATTTAAAAAAATAACAGAGCTACGAAATAATAAAGAAAAAATAAAAAGAACTATAAAAACATTAACATAATAGGTAAAAATATTACATTTACCCCATTTTTACATTTGCTCCAGTTTACCTTATATCAAACTTAATGTAATAATTTCTAATGTACCTAAGCAGTTCAAAAAATCTATTAAAATTTAATGATTTTTCCCATATATCTGCTATTTTTCATTAACTTTTATATAGGTAATCTTCAATTTTACTTCACAATTAAACATTACTTGCATATTAGCACTTCTTTTTCTTGCTAAAATTTAATATGCTGTTTATTTATTTATTTAAAAAAAATAACAGAGGTTCGAAATAATAAAGAAAAAAATAAAAAGAAGTATAAAAATATTAAAAAAACATTAACATAATAGGTAAAAATATTACATTTACCCCATTTTTACATTTGCCCCAGTCTAGTGGAAAAAAAATCGAAACCTTCACCAATTAGATATTAGATCAGTACGGATCTGCGTGATAATGACAATACTTAATACACACACACACACATATCAATATAAATAAGTAAGCAACAGAGGTCATATTCAAACGCATTCGTGTCCCAGAATTCGCTATCGAACTATCGAAAGCGAACGCTGTCTCGTCAGTTATTTCGTTTATTCCACGATCGACTCGAAAAACACGATGGAAAATCGAAACGGATTTTCTGCCGTTATTGTTCCATTAACGAATTGACGCGCGAGTGTCGTTTATTATTATTATTATTATTTTTATTTTTTAAACGAATTTCGGCTGTGATAAATGAATAAGTTCGATTCGAATTCGCGCGTTTTGGGCTGTGATTATTTTAGGATTATTTAGTGTATTTTATAATGGTGTGTAACGGAGAGGTGTATTCGATTAATGGGAACAAAAAAAATTGCGATGTCATATCTGATAGTAATAGTAATTGTAATAGTAATAGAACCGATGGTAATATGAAAATAGTTAATTGTGGGATCGAAGTCGCCAATAGAAGGCCAGAATATAGGTAAAGTGCAGTATTCTTAAGTAATTAATTACAAGTAATTGAAAAAGTAATTGAATTACTTTTATTGTAATTAAGGCGGTAATTAATTACAAGCTCCTCAATTGTAATTCATTTGTAATTCAATTACTCCTTTCGTTACAATTACAATTACATTTTACAATTACATTTCAATTACATTGGACACAAAAGTACTTATTTAATATTTTCAATACGTGGAAAGTTTAATTCCGATTGCAAATCCCTAAATAATTATTTAAAACTGACACCAAAGCAAAGTAATTGTGAGTGTAATTGTAATTATAATTGTAACTTTAATTGTAATTGTAATTACATTCGGAAATTTTGTAATTGTAATTGCAACTAATTACAATTTGCCAAAAGTAATTGTAATTGTAATTAATTACATATTATAAAGTAATTTTAACATCACTGGTAAAGTGTTTTTTATCTACTTTTTTTTTTTTTTTGGTGTAAAGGGAGCTTCGTAATTTCTATTATTTGAATAAAATATTTTGATTTTTGTATTTGTAAAATTGAATAATTTCGTCACACTTCCGTAAACATTGGTATATACAATGTTACCCTTGGAACTTATGGTTTTTTTTAATCAACTTTTATAATCGCATTGATAATAAATAAATATTTACAAGTAAACAAGTATACAGATTATATCTACTTCATAAATAATTTAAAAGTTGAGTGCATCATTCGAAAAATCCCACAATAGCCTTGTATTTTTTAATTAATTTACAACAAATTTTATACACAAATAAAAAAATTGTTATAAAATTATATAACTTGTTTGAACTATTACATTACTATACCAGTTTTTAATCAAATATAATAGATAAATCAATTATTAACTGATACCACAAACCTATTAAGTGCTATTAACTATTTTAAATAGTATAATAGTAGTGTTATTAAAATCAGATATTGTGGAGTTAATTGCGCAACCAACAAAATAATTATGTGAACAAAATACAAGCGAAAATATGGTTGATTTTCATTCGCAAATTGTTATATTTTTATTGTTTCGTGTAAAAAAAAAACAATTAATTAGCATGAGGTAAAATTCGCTTCGAGTAGTTCAAGGTGCCTCTAAAGGTTCTTTATTGTCTATAATGACGAAATTGCTCTTAAATTCTAATGAGATATTCGTCGATTTGACCAATTAAAATTTCACATTCTATCGCTTTACGAACGCTTCGAGTTTTAATTTAAATTGTTTATCTCAAGGTTGGTTTCAATTCGATAAAAAAAATACAGTTAAACTGACGTTTTTTAAATGATTAAATCACGATTAGATCGGGTTTGTAAATTAATTATAGTCCGTTCGCTATCAGGTGGAATATAACCTCACTTGAAGGATTTAATGTTTATTTTGCTTTAGTACTACCACCCTGTATACAGATTGCTTCAATTCAGATCGCAACATGGTCGTTTCTATGAGTTGAACAAAGAAAGATTAATAAAATAACAGTTGTCAGAGTGCAAAAGTTGCAATGACACAAATCAGTCACTCTTTCTTTTTCCTTTATAAAGTGTCTAATGGAAGTTGTTTCTATCGCACCTATAGCCTATACAGGGTGTTAATTAATTGTGTGCCGATACTTCAGGATGTGAATATTTGGATGATTTTAGGAAGAAAAGTTTTCGAGCTACAGGGTGTTAAAATTTTAGAAAAAAAGTAATTTTTCTATCATAATTTTCTTATTACAGCAGATATTTTTATGAAATTTCGGACGTTGACGTCACTGATAGTATATCGATTGTAAATAGTAGATAGAGAGATAGAGTAAATAGTAGATAGATAATAGTAGAAAATTAATTTTTATCCCCAAAAAAAAGTGTTTCCATGCATGGTGGGCGCCTATCAAATTTTAACAAAATATCAAAAGCAGTCTGGAAATGAATTTGGGAAAAAAAGGTTTTGGTTTTTATTTTTTACGCGAAAATGGTGCGTCGTGCGAAAATAAATCTTGCCGAATTTGCTACAAAATAAATGAAGATTTTAAAAATAATTTTAGTTTTTAGAAAAAGCAGTGGTGTACCATTTTTTTTTCAAACATATTTAGTTCGAACCCCGTACGGACGTCACTGGTGAATATTTAAAAAAAATCTTATGCCTCAAAAAATGCTCCTTAATAATTAAAAAGTGTATACAAAATTTCTTAAAAATAACTGGTGTAATAAGAAAATTATGATAGAAAAGTTATTTTTTTTATAAAATTTTGTGAACAACTTTGTATTTTATAACATATACCTTTAAAATTTCTACAAAAAAAAAATTAACTCAAAATCTGAGTATACCTCTTAAAAGCTCATTAAATACAGTAGTTTTTGCTAAAAAAAAACTTGAATGAATTTTATAAAATTGTTGGCTTTACGACCATTAAAAGATACATATAATTATATTCATTTCATATTCATAACAATGAAATCTTTTATAACACCCGGTATTGATTTTTTTAACCCTGATAAATACTTTTTTTATAACAAATTTAATGCACTTTTACGGTAATATATGATCAAAATTAATGTGACTATACGAATAAATGTGATATTTCGGTCTTTCTGGAAAAAAAACAAAAAAAATGCCTTAAAAAATGCTTCTTAATAATTAAAAAGTGTATACAAAATTTCTTAAAAATAACTGGAATAATAAGAAAATTATGATAGAAAAGGTATTTTTTTTTTCTAAAATTTTAGCACCATGTAGCTCGAAAATTAAGAGGTTTAGGACATTTATTAATATAAACTATTCATCTAAAAATCAATCAAATATTCACATCCTGAAGTATCGGCATGCAATTAATTAACACCCTGTATAACCTATGTTGCGATCTGGAATGAAGCACAATGTATAACAAATAGGCAACCCTTTCTAATCACAATTTAAGTAAGCTGATGAAAAATCGTGCACAGTAAAATGCTTTTTTTTTGAGTCATTAATATTTTATTAATATTTTATTAATATTTTAGGACAATACAAGACCCCGCTAGTCAAAGACTGACATGGTACAAACCGCCGCTTACAGTTCTTGTGATAAAAAAAGTACGCGACGCCAGCGTCTATTTACCTTTTATACAATTGGTCCAATGGCTCACCGAGGTAAAGGCACCATCTAATCTATCCTTGTCTATCTTATTATCTTTCCCCTACCATCTGCACTTCATTGTATCTCATTCCTCCACTCTCTTTATTGCTTCAATGTATCTTTGTTTATCTTTCCTCTACTCTCTAAAATATCATCTATCAATCTCCGTCCATCTTCCTTTACTCTCTATACCAGAATTTAACTTTGTGTATCTTTTCCTATCCTCTACACATTTTATCCATCTCTGTTTCTATCTTTCTCAATACTCTGTATTTACTCTATATTTCTTTGTCCATCTTCCCCTACCATCTACAATATCATCTGTATCTATCTTCCTTCATTCTCTATAATACAATTTATCTATTCTTGTCTATCTTCCCCTACCCTCTGCACTTCATTGTATCAATCTCTGTTTTTATTTTCCTCCACTCTCTTTATTGTTTCAATGTATCTTTTTCTATCTTTCCCCTACTCTCTAAAATATCATCTATCAATCTGCGTCCATCTTCCTTCACTCTCTATACCAGAATTTAACTTTGTCTATCTTTTCCCATCCTCTACACTACGTTTTATCCATCTCTGTTTCTATCTTTCTCAATACTCTCTATTTACTCTATATTTCTTTGTCCATCTTCCCCTACCATCTACAATATCATCTGCATCTATCTTCCTTCACTCTCTATAATAGAATTTATCTATCCTTGTCTATCTTATTATCTTTCCCCTACCATCTGCACTTTATTGTATTCATCTCCGTTTCTATCTTCCTCCACTCTCTTTACTGTTTCATTGTATCTATTTTTGTCTATCTTCCCCTACTCTATAACATATCATCTATCTATCTCCGTTCATCTTACTTCATTTTCTATACCAGAATTTATTTTTGTCTATCTTTCGCCACCCTCTATACTACATTTTATCCATCTCTGTTTCATATACAAGTTGCTCCATTTTTGATCGCAAACATAGGTTATATAGGCCATGGGTGCGATAAATACAACTTCCATTAGACACTTATAAAGGAAAAGGGAAGAGTGACATTTGTGTCATTGCAACTTTTCACTCTGACAACTGTCATTTAATAAACAATAAACTTTCTTTGTTCCTCTCATAGAAATGACCATATTGCAATCGGAAATGGAGCATTTTCATCTATATTTCTTTGTCCATCTTCCCATACCATCTACAATATCATCTACCTATCAGCGTCTATCCTCCTTCACTCTCTATACTACAATTTATCTATATGTGTCTATTTTCCCCTACCCTTTACAATATCATCTACCTATCTGCGTCTACTTTCCTTCATTCTCTGTAATACAATTTATATCTCTTTGTCTATCTTCTTCATCCTCTCCAATCATCCAGAAATCTGTACTGAACAAACTGTTTATCTACCCCTATCATTTACAATATCATCTACCTATCTGCTTCTACTTTCATTCATTCTCTGTAACACAATTTATATCTCTTTGTCTATCTTCTTTATCCTCTTCAATCATCCAGAAAACTGAACAGAACAAACTGTCTATCTTCCTCTATCATTTACAATATCATATACCTATCTGCTTCTACTTTCCTTCATTCTCTGTAACACAATTTATATCTCTTTGTCTATCTTCTTTATCCTCTTCAATCATCCAGAAAACTATACAGAACAAACTGTCTATCTTCCTCTATCATTTACAATATCATATACCTATCTGCTTCTACTTTCCTTCATTCTCTGTAACACAATTTATATCTCTTTGTCTATCTTCTTTATCCTCTTCAATCATCCAGAAAACTGAACAGAACAAACTGTCTATCTTCCTCTATCATTTACAATATCATCTACCTATCTGCTTCTACTTTCCTTCATTCTCTGTAATACAATTTATATCTCTTTGTCTATCTTCTTCATCCTCTCCAATCATCCAGAACTCTGTACTGAGCAAACTGTTTATCTTCCCCTATCTTTTACAATATCATCTACCGATCTGCTTCTACTTTCCTTCATTCTCTGTAACACAATTTATATCTCTTTGTCTATCTTCTTCATCCTCTCCAATCATCCAGAAATCTATACTGAACAAACTTTCTATCATCCCTTATCATTTACAATTTACAATATCATCTACCTATAAACGTTTACCTTCCTTCATTCCCTGTAATACCATCTAACTCTCCTTATCTATTTTCCCCTCCACTACCTTGTATCCAGAAATCTATACTGAACCAACCAAACAAAGAAAAACGATGAAATTTCTTATCCTTTAGGAGAAACGTATGGTGGTGTTCGTGGAATCCTCGGTGATGGAGGACAACAATCTGGACCAGTACAATTCCTTTTCGAAATTCAAGGATAAACTGATGACGTTCAGAGACGGCAAGGACGATTTGACAGATAAAATCGACTTCATCATATGCCTGGGTGGGGACGGGACCTTGTTGTACGCCAGCCAATTGTTCCAGCAATCTGTACCGCCTGTGATGGCCTTCCATTTGGGCTCGTTGGGTTTCCTCACTCCGTTCCAGTTCGAGAATTTCCAGGAGCAGGTCAACAACGTCCTTGAAGGTGAGTGGGGGGTGTCTTTCGAGAGGACGAAGGTCAACTGGGCAAAAATTTTATTAGCTGATAATAATTATCGAGATCGATCTGTCTTATGATAGGTCAACTGGGCAATTTCCAATATTTTTACCTGTCACTTAATCGCTTTTCTAGTTTCGACAATTCGATAATCTCTTTAATGTACATTCACTTTTTACATACAGGGTGTCCCAATAGTGCGGTAAAGCCCATTTATTCAGTTATTATAATAGATACGAAAAAATGATAAATAGGAAAAATGTTAAGCACCTTTAGGCGCACAATTTAAAATTATTTCGAAATATACAGGGTGGTCCATAAATCAAAGCGATACTAAACATACCTATTTTTACAGGCAATAATATATTTTTTATTTCATATTCGATTTCAGCTCGTATTCACGAGTTTCTCAATATAAGATTTCATATGACTATACTGAGTATTTAAAAAGTTATGGCCATTTTTATGTTCAAATCGACATGATTTCAAGGCCCTGTATATCAAAATCTGTATCAGATAATGTGAATTTTTCTATGTCAGCACTTTTTGAAAATGGTCAATTTTCACAAAAAATAGTTTCAAATGGTAAAAATATGATATTTTTTTTGGGTTTAAGGGTTGAGCACTAAAATTTGGCATTAACTACTTTAAAAGCACTAAAATCATTGAAACATTAGAGATCAAAATCGTTTCCCTATGACTATGTTTAAATGTATTTTTTCTATGTTTATCTGTTTTTCTATATTGATTCCAATACGATTTTATCAAATATCGTTAAGATTAATACCCTAAATAAAATTCTGAGTAGTGCATTCGAAAGCACTAAAATAGCACTAAATTCCGATATATTATTTTTTAATTTTGTTTAAATATTTAAATGTGGGGGTGCTAGCTTTATAAACTTAGCACCGTCATTTTCAATCGTAATTTTCTGCTCAACCAGACGAGCACTAAAATTAGGAAGTGGGCACTAAATTACCACTAAAATAGCACTAAATTATGATGTATGATTTTTTATTTTTTTTTGATGGTGGGGGTGCTAGCTTCACGCGGGTAGAGTATTTGCCCAATTGACCTGCCATATTATAAAATAATTGACCATTTTGCCCAGTAGACCTCGATTAACGAATGATCGAAGAGGATAAAAAAGGGTTTTTTATTTGTGTGGGGGTGTTGCAGGTCACGCGGCGTTGACGTTGAGGAGCCGTTTGCGTTGCATCGTGATGAAAAAGGGCGAGCTGAGCAACAAAAACGGCGATAAAGTACCGAAAGTACCGACGAATCTTTTGGTATTGAACGAGGTCGTCATCGACAGAGGTCCATCGCCTTATCTTTCGAATATCGGTAATTATTAGTACTACTATACAGGGTGTCTTACGACGAGTTAAAACTAGCTTTATATTGGAAACTACTTGTTCGATTTAAATAATATTTGGTATGTATATGTTATGCAGTAAGAAGTACCTCTTAAAAATATTTTGACAGTCGTACCACTTTCGGATATACGGGAAGTAGGCGACAACTTTGTTATTTTAAATGGAACACCCTGTATATTAATATATTTTTGAAATCTACGTAGAATTTTAGGGTACTTTTGTCGAAAACGATTTTTTTAATGCGTATTTTTGGAGTTAATAATTTTTGTTTGAAAATTTTTTAACGATGCAGACCCTTATGAATTATTTTTTTACGGGGATACCCTTAAAGATATGGAAATTGTTTCTGTAGGGTGGCTATTAGAAAGGTCAGAGGTATTCGAACCTGCGTTGAAAAGCTTTTTATTTACAGGATGTGTACAAAACATGCGTAAAGTTGAACATCAAAAATATCAAATTTCTTCATTTTTTTAAATGGAACCACCCATTTTTTTCTATTTTAATGAAATCAGCGGTCGAAAATAAGGGAATTTCATGTTTACTTCCCTATACCTAAACCCAATAGTTTTGATGATATTAAAAATTTTAAATAAAACTTACATTTCTGTCTAATTCTCAATTAAATAGGTTTTATAAGTTGGCCATGTAAATTCTTCTTGAATAATTAATTATTAATTATGGTTCTTGTGCGATATTACATGGCCAATTTGTTAAACCAAGTAATTTAAAAATAAGGCAGAAAAGTAAGTTTTATTAAAAAATAATAGTAAAATTTTAACTTTTGAATGGTAAGAACTTTTGTCGCGAAATTTGGGGTGTTTATATTGAAATAAAATTACTATATTTTGATGTAAAAATGACAGTTGAAACTTTGAAAATGACAGTTAGGCGCCATTTTGAATCTTTTTTTCTTATGGAAAGGGAGGTCAAGTGACACCTCATTTTAAAGGTAATTTCATTCTTAAGTCAACCCCCAAATTTGAAAACATTTTAATAACGCGTATTCACGTGAAGACCAATTTAGTTTTAACTCCTGGGCATATTGATACATTTAAATAATAATTCTGAACGTACTATAAAATGTGTTAATTAATTGTTGCTATGGTTTCTTGGCTCTGACATTTATTTGTCAAATTTAAAGTTGATGAAATTGACAATGGCTCGTCCTTTAAACGAAAAAACTGTCAATTTCATCAACTTTAAATTTGACAAATAAATGTCAGAGCCAAGAATCCACAGCAACAATTAATTAACACATTTTATAGCAGGTTCAGAATCCATTTTTAAATGTATCAATATACCCGGGGGTTAAAACTAAATTGAACTTCACATAAAAATGCGTTATTAAAATGTTTTCAAATTTGGGGGTTGACTTAAGGATGAAATTACCTTTAAAACGAGGTGTCACTTGACCCCTCTTTCCATAAGAAAAAAAGATTCAAAATAGCGCCTAACTGTCATTTTAAAAGTTGCAACTGTCATTTTTACATCAAAAAATAACATTTTTACTCCAATATAAACACCCCAAATTTCGCGACAAAAGCTCTTACCATTCAAAACTTAAAGGGTGGGGGGGCGACGCACTTTTAGTCCTCACTGTATACACACCAAATATTATTTAAATCGGATAAGTACTTTCCAATATACAGATAGTTGTAACTCGCCGTGGGACACCCCGTAGTAGATGGTACTCCGTAAACAATCCGCCGTTTTTTCTTTCCAGATTTATTCCTAGACGGTAAACACATAACATCTGTACAAGGCGACGGGTTGATTGTAAGTACTCCTACTGGTAGTACCGCTTACGCAGTCGCAGCAGGCGCTTCGATGATCCATCCCAGCGTACCAGCCATCATGGTAACGCCGATTTGTCCGCATTCGTTGAGCTTCAGGCCTATAGTAGTACCGGCTGGAGTCGAACTTAAGGTACTACCTATACGAAATACCCTACGTTTATTGTAATTGCTAACTTTGAAGCAATCGTAGATTTCGTAGATCGTAGTATTCGATCGTTGATCCAAGTAGATTTGGAGTAGATTACAGAATAGATTTAGGGTAGTTCGAGAGTAAATTCGAAGTAGATTCAGTGTAAAGTCACTGTAGAATCTAAATAGATTCAGAGCAGTAGATTCGGAGTAGATTCAGAGGAGTTTTCAGAATAGATTCAGGGGGATTCAGGGTAGTTTGAGTGTATGTTCGGGGTACATTCAGGGTAGGTTCAGAGTAGATTGCAGAGTAGATTCAGTGTAGAGTCAATAAGTAGATTTGGAGTAGGTTTAGAGTAGATTACAGATTAGATTCAAGGTGGTTCGAGAGCAAATTCGAAATAAATTCTGAATAAATTGAATAAATCTGAATAAATTCTGGATAAATTGCGGGTAGATTCGGAGCATATTAAGAGTAAATTCAGATTAGATTTAGAGTAAATTTGGAGTAGTTTCAGTGTAGAGTCTGAGTAAATTCAGAGCAGTAGATTCGGGGTAGATTCAGAGTAAATTCAGAGCAGTACATTTGGGGTAGATTTAGAATAGATTCAGTGTAGTCTGAGTACTTTTGGAGTAGGTTTAGAGTAGATTGAAGCAACCGTAGTGTTGTTTTTGTAATAATACCATTAATAGTACTAAAGTACCATTTTGTGTTTTATTAGATCTCCGTGTCGCCGGATAGCAGGAACACCTCGTGGGTGTCATTCGACGGACGCAACAGGCAGGAACTAGTGCATGGAGACAGGTAAAGAATAAAATTCTGGCCCCTTACTTCTACAGGCTCCAGCCAATTTCTTGGTTATTTCGTGCCTTAGATCATATACACCTTGATCCATTTCCGATTGCAACATGGTCATTTCTATGAGTGGAACAAAGAAAGATTATTAAAATGACAGTTGTCAGAGTGAAAAGTTGCAATGACACAAATCAGTCACTCTTTCCTTTTCCTTTATAATTGTCTCTAATGGAAGTTGTCTTTATCGCACCCATGGTCTATATAACCTATGTTGCGATCAAAAATGGAGCAACCTGTATACTAAGTTGGATGCATCAATGCCATAAGAATTACATTTACGTTCCTGTTGCCAACATCCACAACATGCCTAAATTATACTTTCTTTTTTTGCTCTATGGAATTCAGCATAGATTTATCTTTGTTTTGGTCTGCCAATTGAGCATGCGCTTTAAAAATCTGAACGTATTTATTAGTATACAACAGATATATTAGAAAACTCGCCCTTGTTGCCAGGTTCACAGATTTGTTGTAATTTTTCACTCTTTTAATATGTACCGGGTGTCCCACCAGAAGAGGTAACCGGCTGTATATCAGAAACTAATTGTCATGGAGACTTGCGGTAAAAAATCTTATGAATAAATTGGCAAAAAGAAAATGCTGGAAATACTTTTTAAGTCTCTAAAATGGCCGCTAGGGGGAGTATCCGTCATCTTGATTTTGAAAAGTCGTTTTTTTCAAAATTTTCCTTAATAAAGGTATCAGAAATTTATTTTATTTTGATATTTGGGATAATTGCAATTCTTTTTTGTTTTTTATTTTTGACTCTATCTTGTAAAATAAAGTGTTGGGAGTTGTTTGAATATTGCGACAAATAAATATTAATAACTTCTAAACGGCTGAACAGATTTTCATAAAAATGAAATCGTTGAAAAGGTCTATAATTTACACTATATAAGATATTATTGCAAATACTTGCTTGGCCGCAAGAGGGCGTTTTCCGACATCACTTTAAAAAACACCGATTTTCTCAAAAAATTTAAATGCAACGATATAACTTTTTATTTGGAGAAATATAGTCAAATAATTGCCAAACAAGCCTGTGAAAACCGCATCTCCATATCTCTTTCCTAACCTAAAATATATTTAAAAAAAAAGGAAAATACCTAGAAATTGGGTATATTTTTGGTACACTCCCATTATAAAAGTCTCTAATTAGCGTTATTCTATTTAGAACAGCAATCAATTTATTAACAATATTCAAGTATGATATTAGGAACATCAAGCTAAGTAATTATTTATTCAGTAATTATTGGATTTCACACTGTTTGAGAACTAAAAAATAAGCATGAAGGGGTAAAATAAAAAAAAAACAAGCACGCCTTGGGTTAAAGGCAATGAAAGTCGATTAAAGGTAAAACCATAAAACACGAAAAATCAAAAACTTTTGCATAACGGACATTCATTTTTTCAAAACAAAAATGAATCAAAATCGAGATGACGGATACTCCCCCTAGCGGCCATTTTAGAGACTTAAAAAGTATTACCGGCATTTTCTTTTTGCCAATTTATTCGTAAGATTTTTTACCGCAAGTCTCTATGACAATTAGTTTCTGATATACAGCCGGTTACCTCTTCTGGTGGTACACCCGGTACGATGTACGATAAAGATATTTTTATTTATTATCTAAAATAATTGTTTTAAAATGCAGTCATACATTCCCAACATCTTCTCCCTTAATTCACACGTCGATAGCACTAAAAAGGTATTTGTAACATATTTGTTTTTAAAAGAATTTTTTGCTCATTTCTCAATAACCACATGAGAAAAAGAAAAAAAAGTATGTTTCAGATTCCATTTTTCACGGACTTTTCAATGACCCTACACACGACATGCCTTTGCATTTGAAAAAATAAAGTTGGGTAGGGTTGCAACTAAGGGGTCGAAGAAGGAAAAATCATTTTATTGGCAACAAATCCGAAATTTGAAGCACCTGACAAATACTGTACAACCCTGGAATATAAAATCAATATCTGCACCCATTACAAAATGGCGGAACATAAAGGCAACTTTTCACTCTGACAACTGTCATTTTAATAATCTTTTTTTATTAGTTTCGTGTTGAATATGCCTTTTAATTGCAGTTTACGGGTGACAACTTCAATCTATCCGGTGCCGAGTATATGCGCCCAAGATCAAATATCTGATTGGTTCGATTCGTTGGCTGAATGCCTGCATTGGAACGTGAGAAAGAGACAGAAGCACCTGGACGAATTGACGGATCTGACGCATTCCAGTTCGAACGATACGTTGGATTCGTTGGAGAGGGACCTGTTGTTGGAGAAGGAGGAGAAATGATGTGTGTGGGGGGTTCTTTTGGAGGGGCTGCAGGGTTGTTTTTAAAGAGGGTTGTTGATTGTACGTTCGAAAAGGTTCGATGTGTCGAGTGTAATTTGTTAACTAAGTTTTAAAAAAAAATTGAGTAAAATAGGAGCGATTGTTGGTTTTTGGTCGATTTTTTGTAATGTAAATTTTTTACTATTTTTATACGGGGTTAGACAGAAATTAATTATACTGAAGTGCAAATTTGTATGCGATGTACCGGTCTATGGGTGCAACAAAGACAATCATATAAAGGATAAAGATAAAGCGATGTTTAATTGTGGGTTGATTGCACATCTTTCTCACTCTGACCACTGTTATTTTAATAATCTCTCTTTGTTTAACTCGTAGAATTGATCGTATTGAAAACAAATTTGCACTTATTCATATTTGTAATAATTTTGCTTTATAAAACGGAACATTTCTTTTGAGAGTTTAAGTTTCTGTCTAACCCAACGTTGCCAAATTTGTTAATTTATCATTTGTATACACGTAATAAATTATTTTGTAATAAAACCAAACCGAAATATTTATCAAAAAATGCAATATGTTACAATATATCCGTAATCTACACATTTTTTTAATTTGTTTAAATATTTTTGAAAAATATGGACGATTTTTCAACAGAGAAAATTGTTGATTTTTGTGAAGATTCGTCGAAGTTTTAATGAGATAAAATGGCGGTTTAAAAATGTTTTGTTTAATTTAAACTTAATTTTCTCTGCACTTAAAGTGTGAAAATTCCATTTTGTTACGTACTTAAATTGCCACTTATTGTTGGAGTTGTTAAAATAAATATTTGTAAATTTATAAAGCAATTGGTTCTTTTTTTAGAGAATATTTAAAAAAGAATTAGTATTTTTATACCGGATGTTTTCACGTCAATAAAATGAAACAAGTCGTTTTTTCTTCAATAATTTCATTTCTAATTAATACAAAATCTATACAGATTGCTCCATTTTTCATTGCAACATAGGCTGTGGGTGCAACAAAGACAACTTCAATTAAACACTTATAAAGGAAAAAGAAAGAGTGATATTATGTCATTGCAACTTTTCACTCTGACAACTGTTATTAGTTAACTTTCTTTGTTCAACTCGTAGGAATGCCCATGTTGCAATCGCAAATGAAGCATAGTGTATATTAATTACAACAATTTTGGTATTAAAATTAAAAAAAGAGGTTGCTGAATAACCACAATAGTTAAGTCACATAATACAAAAAGAAGAAACGTAACAATTTGAAATTTGACATTTTAACAACGTCAAATGTCATTACTGTCTAAATCATCTGTAAAAAAACGTAAAATCAAACTTATCCGTGTTTTTCGAAGTGCACACAAGTTATGCTATTAATTTTCTCCGATTATTTGGAAAACGCATCGGTTTCTGATGTAATTTACTTCTACTGGAACGCCGCCTTGCTCTATTTCACCGATTTATTCGCCTACTTACACGAAACGTCCCATCAAACATTGCCCAGCACATTCGACGATTTCCAGTGGGATTTGCTGCGAATCTTCGCAGGATTGATCCTGTTCAACCTTCTATCGATCCTCATCGTGTGGAAATTACACGGCGAATCGATTTACAAACAGTTCATGACAAACCGTAAGTACTTATACTTTGTACAGAGAAAATCCAGTTTTGACGTCACCACCTTCTTGATTACTACATTTTATTTAGAAGTTTATAGTTGTGACGTCACGACGACTTGATTAGTTTGTTCATTCAGTGTGTATTTGTGACGCCATTTTGGTAATGGAAAAGTTGGATGTTTTTCGAAACGATCCGTTCGATCGATTCGCAGAAGATTCTAACCTAACCGTTTGACAAGTAACAGTAGTAAATCGATATTTGACAGCCACATTGAGGGAGATCGAAGAGCTGAAGGCGAGCGTGTCGAAGTTGAAGCTGCCCAAGGAGCACTCGCCGAGGATTTGAGCGCGCCATGGCGGAGAAAATCAAGAAGTTCTTCGCCAGAAAGAAGGCGGACGCCCGCTTCAAGATGGCCGGCCCCGGCCGGAGGCTCGCCGAGTCCTCGACGGCGGTCGTGGGGCCCAGCAAATCGAAGCCCGCCGCCCACGTGCCGGCCAAAGTCGAGCCCACCGAGGCCGCCCGACAGGCCGCCGAGGCCGCTCTGTTGAGGCTACAAGGTACAATTTATCTCGTCTAAACATCCTCCGAATAGTTGCTTGTGTGGTAGATAGTAAGAGGCCTAACTCGAACCCGCATTCCCGGGCCAGCATTTCACCTAAACTTAGTACCTAACGAATAGTATAAACTCGTGTAGTAGATAGTAAGAGGCCTAACTCGAACCCGCATTCCCGGGCCAGCATTTCACCTAAACTTAGTACCTAACGAATAGAATAAACTCGTGTAGTAGATAGTAAGAGGCCGAATAAGGTAATTTCTTTCGTTTTAAAGGTCAGAGGAAAGATGTGGCGTTTAATACATCGTTGGCTGCTATTCAGGCGAAGGTGCGTAGAGAACTCGAAGCGGAGAACAAGAAAGCGCCCGAATCCGTTCAGAAACAAGAACAAGATTGTAGAGAAACCGAGTACGAGTGTTCCTCACATTTGGCTGTGAATGGTGGGCTGGCGAGATTTCGCGTAAAAGGCCACTGTGATAAATTGTGTTATTTTGTTTTTTTAGGCGTTTACTTCAAATGTCCCTTAATTAGTGATGAAATATTGACCAAAGAAGAATGGAAAGGGAAAATCAAAGAGTTTTTGTTCAGCACCTTGGCCGAGGAAAGGATCATGACGTCTTGTTTGATCATATATTCCTGCAATTACAATAGAACAAAGGTGGGTAAATGCTGAGTATAATCAGGGTAGATTCAGAGTAAGTTCAGTGTAGAGTCTGAGTAGATTCAGAGTATGTTTAGAGTAGATTGCAGAGTAGATTCGATGTAAAGTCAATAAGTTGATTTGTAGTAGGTTTAGAGTAGATTTCAGAATAGGTTTAGGGTAGTTCGAGAGTAAATTCGAAGTAGATTCAGTGTAGAGTCTGTAGAGTGTAGTCGATTTACAGCAGATTCAGAGTAGATTTAGTGTAGTACCTGAGTAGATTTAGAGAAAATTCAGATTAAATTGCAGGTAGATTTGGAGTAAATTCAGATTAGATTTAGAGTAGATTCGGAGTAGTTTCAGTGTACAGTCTGAGTAAATTCAGAGCAGTACATTCGGGGTAGATTCAGAATAGATTCAGTGTTCAGTCTGAGTAGATTCGGACTAGATTCAGGGTAGTTTGAGGGTATGTTTGTAGTAGATTCAATGTAGGTTCAGAGCAGAGTCCTCAAGTAAGTTCAGGGTAGTTTGAGAGTATGTTCGAAACAGATTCAGAGTAGAGTAGGATAGATTCAGAGTAAAGTAGATTTAAAGTAGATTCAGAGAGTAAATTCAGAATAGATTCAGAGCAGTAGAACCAGATTAGATTTAGTATAGATTCAGAGTAGGTTTAATTCAATGTAGAGTAGATAGATGAGTAGAGTTCAAGTATGAGTAGGTTCAGAGTAGATTTTAGACTAGGTTTAGGGTAGTTTCAGGGGATGTTCGGAGTTGATTCAAAATAGATTCAGTGTAGTCTGAGAGTAAGTTCGAAGTAGATTCAGTATAGCGTCACTGTAAAGTCTGAGTAGATTCAGAGTAGATTTTACACTAGATTCAGGGTAGTTCGAGGGTATGTTTTGAGTAGATTCAGAATAAGTTGAGGGTAGATTCGGAGCAGATCGAGAGTAAATCCAGATTAGACTACATTGCGTCCAATTTACCACATTCCTTTCAGATTTTTGTCACCACAGGTGCTGCGTGATTCAGAGTAGATTTTAGACTAGGTTCAGGGTAGCTTGAGGGTATGTTCGGAGTCGATTCAGTGTAGAGTCTGAGTAGATTCAGAGAAGTAGATTTCAGAAGAGATTCAGGGTAGTTTGAGGGCATGTTCGGAGTCGATTCAGTTTAGAGTCTGAGTAGGTTCAGAGCGATTGATTCAGAATAGATTTAAGTGTAAATTCAGAATAAATTGAGGATAGATTCGGAGCAGATTGACAGTAAATCCAGATTAGATTCGAACATGCAGGGGCCTGTTTCATATAACTGACAAGTTGACAAGTTACAAGTCGACAAGTTACAAGTGTTGGTTGACAAGTATTTTAAAATTTCGTTTCATAAAATAAATTTCGACACTTGTCGAATTCAATTTTTGGCATCCGTTTTTCTACAACTGTAATATTAATTAAACGTCAGATTTAAGCCAAAAAAGAAAAAAATAGTACTTACTATACTGAGGAGCATAAGCATAGCACAACCTTCGTTTTTCGATATTGGGAAACTTTTACTTTGAAATTGTTTTTTTTTTCTGGTTGGAGCTATTTTTAGATGTGAACCACGACAATTTCGTTTATTGACAAAAAAACTTATTTCTAAAATGCAACAACATTTATTTAATATTCAATTATTTTAATAAAGAAAGGGCATTCTATTTGGAAAATTTAGTCCCACTTCTACAAAAGCTATAAAATGTGAGCATTGAAACGAACAAAGACAATGCATAATTTCTATACGTTGGTTCAATACATTAGACGGGGACCAATAGATTTTAATATTTCCTCCATTTTTATCGAATTCATTCGAATTCATTCACTGTCGCTAAAACATATTTTCTTTTAAATTTACAAGAAAATCGAATGGTGACAGGAAATCAAATTCCTGTCGCTTTACACTAATATATGATAGGAATAAATCACCAGTGTTGTTTAATTTATTTTTTATGAAACGCAAACCTATCTACAATTTTAAAACATACCTGTAATATTAGTCTAGTCACTTGTCACTAATAATCTAATCGTTTAATTTTATGAAACACAAACTTGTTAAATACCCCGAGTCAAATTTAGACTACACTTGTCCGACAGGACTTGTCAGTTATATGAAACAGGCCCCTGATTAGATCATATTCCATCGTCCAATTTACTACATTTCCTTCCGATTTTTCTCACCGCAGGTGACCGACTGCGTGATTCAGAGTAGATTTTAGACTAGATTCAGGGTAGTTTGAGGGTATGTTCGGAGTCGATTCAGTTTAGAGTCTGAGTAGATTCAGAGCGACCGAAGAACCAGAATAGATTTAGTGTAAATTCAGAATAATTTTTGATGGTAAATTCGGAGCAGATTGACAGTAAATCCAGATTAGATTACATTGCTTACAATTTCCAATGTTCTTTTCAGATTTTTCTCACCACAGGTGACCGACTGCGTGATTCAGATTAGATTTTAGACTAGATTCAGGGTAGTTTTAGGGGATGTTCGGAGTTCGATTTAGTGTAGATTCTGAGTAGATGTAGAGCGATTGATTTAGTGTAAATTCAGAATAAATTGAGGGTAGATTCGGAGCAGATTGACAGTAAATCCAGATTAGATTCGAAGTACATGCAGATTAGATCATAAAGGACATTCGCGCTCGCTAGGCAATGACGTCACAAGCCAACCTTTTGCAACGTTGCCGGGTTGAAATGAAAATCTTGATGTGACAGATATATTTAATTTAAGGTTATTTCAGAACAGATTCAGGGTAGTTTCATGGGATGTTTGGAGTCGATTCAGTGTAGAGTCTGAGTAAATTCAGAGCTATTGATTCAGAATAGATTTAAGTGTAAATTCAGAATAAATTGAGGGTAGATTCGGAGCAGATTGACAGTAAATCCAGATTAGATTCGAACTAACATGCAGATTAGATCATATTCCATCGTCCAATTTATTACATTTTCATTTGATTAATGTTGAATGTATAAGTAACTCATAAATCCTGAGCATCGGAAATTTTTGCCACACTTTGTTTAAATTGTCAATTATCAATTAACTTTTAAGAAAAATTACACATTTAGGATAACCGAATAATTTACATTAAAATAATATTTTCTATCGTACACATTTTAATGAAAATTAATAAAAACGACTAATTACATATTCCTTTTTATGAAAAAGTCCTAAAATTACAAAAAAAATCTTAAAATTAACTCAATAAAAAATATTCAACGCGCATGATAATAACTGTTCAAAAACTATCGAAAAACACAAAAATTCAATAAAAAATCTATTCTACATTATAAAACATGTTCAAAATGAAATCCATTTACCATTGCAAAATCCGTAAACAAAAATAATATCAACATATTCATCAAGTGAATATTTGAATGGCATTTTTTAATAAACAAAGTGTATCAATTAGTAAAACACAACTATTCAATTCTTAATTATTGACGAAAGAATGAATCCAAATATCAAAATGCAAAAACAAAGAAAGGGTTAATTTGTCATAAACTATTTTGTTCATTATATCTAATTTAACATACAGAAAAAATAATTTATTAAAGAATATTGTTGAATTATTTTTTTTGTTATATTAGGACTTTTTCATATAATGGAATATGTAATTAGTCGTTTTTATTAATTTTCATTAAAATGTAAATCCAGATTAGATCATATTCCATCGTCCAATTTATTACATTCCCTTCCGATTTTTTTCTCGCCTCCAGGTGACCGACTGCGTGATTCTAGGGAAGATTTTAGACTAGGTTCAGGGTAGTTTCAGGGGATGTTCAGAATACTTTGAGAAGTAGTTCAAAATAGTTTGAGAATAAGTTCGAAGAAGATTCAGTATAGAGTCACTGTAATGTCTGAGTAGATTCAGAGTAGATTTTTCACTAGATTCAGGGTAGTACGAGGGTATATTTCGAGTAGATTCAGAATAAGTTGAGAGTAGATTAGATTACATTGCGTCCAATTTACTACATTTCCTTCCGATTTTTCTCACCGCAGCTGACCGACTGCGTGATTCAGAGTAGATTTTAGACTAGATTCAGGGTAGTTTGAGGGTATGTTCGGAGTCGGTTCAGTGCAGAATCTGAGTAGAATCAGAGAAGTAGATTCGGAGTAGATTTAGAGCAGATTCGGAGTAGATTTCAGAACAGATTCAGGATAGTTTCATGGGATGTTCGGAGTCGATTCAGTGTAGAGTCTGAGTAGATCCAGAGAAGTAGATTTGGAGTAGATTTAGAGCAGATTCGGAGTAGATTTCAGAACAGATTCAGGGTAGTTTCATGGGATGTTCGGAGTCGATTCAGTGTAGTGTCTGAGTAGATTCAGAGAAGTAGATTCAGAGTAGATTTTAGACTAGATTCAGGGTAGTTTAAGGGTATGTTTGTCGTCGATTCAATGTAGAATCTGAGTAGATTCAGAGCGACCGAAAAACCAGAATAGATTTAGTGTAAATTCCTATGGTAAATCCGGAGCAGATCGACAGTAAACCCATTTTCCTCACCTCCACAGGTAACCGACTGCGCCAACGTCCTCATCCGCTACCTGGACAATCTCATCGCCAATCCCGACGAAACGAAATTCCACAAAATCCGCCGCTCGAACGCCGCCTATCGCGACAAAGTCGCGCCCGTCCTCGGCGCCGACGAGTTCCTCTACGCCGCCGGCTTCCGGCCGGAGCGCATCGACGACGAGGACTTCCTGGTGTGGTCCGCGGACAATCTCGACGACGCCGGCGCTCTGTTGTTGCTCAGAGAAACGCTCAAAGCGGAGGAGCGAGTCGAATTGGAGATCGAGAGAAGCTTGAGGGTGTTGTCGCCGGCGCAGGCGTCGCGACGCGTCGAATTGCCCGCCGATTTCTTCGCCATGTCGGCCGACGAGCTGAAGAGGGAGCGGCAACAACGGTGAGTGTTGGACTCACCTTTGTCAAGCTAGCAGGACCAAATCAGCAGAATCAATTCGGACCTATTGCATTATTTAGTGCTTATTTTGTGCTAATTTGTGCCATCCAAAACAAGCAGTTAAATAGATTAATTCACCTTGAAATAAGGGCGAATTATATTTACCTCGATTGGGCTCAAGAGTAAAGTACCCGTTTCGACGAACAGAATTGAATTTAAACCGGTACATTCGAAGCATACTAATTTGTGCTTCACAAATATACACTTACGGATTTTGTACCTCTTACCCCTTCTCTGAAAAACCACCCCCGATAGCCGTTTGCACAAGCAGGATCAGTCAGTATTGGAAACCTTGAAACCTACTCGACTTAAGACAGCGTGCAAGTGTGCAAAGGATGTTTGTATTGTGAAACAAGGCAATATTTTTACATACATCTCTCATTATACATATATTTTATATTATCGCCCGTAGTCCGCACTTTTCTCGACGACTTTTCTCTATTCGACGCACTCTTACGCACTATTCGAGGTCTTCTACTAAGTTCTACTTAGAAAACTTAACTTTTTCACTAATCTCACTTTTACAAATGACAAATTGAATTCTGCTCGTTTCAAGGTGAATTAATCTATTTAGCTGCTTGTTTTGGATGGCACAAATTAGCACAAATTCTGGCGGTTGTATTTATACCCTTTTTTTATTTTTTTTATTTTATTTTTGTATGTGGTCCTGCTAGCTTAATATTAAGCTGGCAACGCCACGATTTTTGTCAAAACGGCACGTAGTACAAATTTTTTTTTAGTGGCACAAATTAGCACAAAATAAGCACTAAATAATGCAATAGGTCCGAATTGATTCTGCTGATTTGGTCCTGCTAGCTTGACAGAGGTGGTTGACTCGCTGCGCAAGCTCGATGTTGGGGTGTGTGTGAAGTTGGTAATGCTAGCTGTAGTACTCGGTTGTTGTGATTAGAGTTCTGGATTCCTTTTGGATAGTTTAGGAGTTCTTTTGTACAGGGTGGCCAATTAAGATTGCGAGGTATTGTATATGGGAAACTAAGGATCGTAGAAGATTGCGGTAAAAAAAGTTATTACTAAAACGGCCAAGAGAAAAATCTGGAAAATATTTTCAAGTTTCTCAAATGACCGCTACGAGGTGTAACTGCAATATTGAAACTAAAAAAAGTGATATTTCTATGAATTTCGCTATATTAACATAACAAAAAAATACCAGATATTTAAAGTCGAGTATAATATGAACCTTTTTTGTTTAACAATTTTTGCTGTATCTCTAAAAATAAAGTAGTAAGTGTTATTTAAATGTTTCCGTAAAAAACACCCTGTATATTCGAAACGGCTGAGCCGATTTGAACAAACTTGGGCTAGTTGAAAAGAGCTATTCTTGGGCTACAAAAGTTATATTATTTAAAGTTTTGTTAGATTCACGTGTCGCTAGTAGAGCGAAGATACAATGTGTTTTTTAGGGAAACATTTGAATAACACTCACCACTTTATTTTTAGAGATACAGCAAAAATTGTTAAGCAAAAAAGGTTCATATTATACTCGACTTTAAAGATCTGGTATTTTTTGTTAGGTTAATATAGCGGAATTCATAGAAATATCACTTTTTTAGTTTTAATATTGCAGTTACACCTCCTAACGGTCATTTGAGAAACTTGAAAATATTTTCCAGATTTTTCTCCTAGCCTTTTTAGTAATAACTTTTTTTACCGCAATCCTCTACGATACATAGTTTCCCATATACAGTACCTCGCAATCTTAATTGGCCACCCTGTACCAAAAATAATAGTTCTGGTGTTTTAACACATTATTTTTTTAAATAAAACATGCGGTGCTAACTTCGGGCCTAAATTTACAATGGAATAGTTCTGATTAGTTTATTTGATGTATTTTGATGAGTTCTAGAGTTCCTGAATATTAAAAAATTATAACAATAATAAATGTCATCAATAAACAAGTATAAACAGTTAATCGATTAGATATGTTCGGATCGATTCTGTTTGTAAATAGCAATATGGTTATTGGTTATTATGTAAAAATATTGTTATCATAGCAACGTCCTAAGAAATAACCTATTCTGTTGGTGTAGTTTAAACAATATGATCTGTCATTAGTAAAGATATCTTGTTATAAATCTTGCTATTTGAACAATGTCATTTTTGTACTTGCTATTTGATAGCAATATGGCTAATCCGATCTTTTTTTATTACTATATGAGCTAAAAGAATTTACATTTTTTTGCAAATACGAGATACAAGTAACCGCTTTGATTTGCTAAATGAAAAATTTATAAAACATAAATAAGACTACAGGTTTAAATTTAATTCAACAATTGTTAGAAGTTCTAGAAGAACCATTCAGAAGAGATACAACACCTTTTCATCTACAAGTTGCGCTAGTTCAGAAATGTATGATAAAAATAATTACTCATATTTTTTTAGGTTTTTTAAATTTACGATTGTAATCGTAAAATAATAAATTTTAGGGAGAATTCTTCTTTTTTCAGTTATATTCAGATAATTACAGTGTTGTCAGCTTTATTTTTCACTAATGAGAGCAGATTATTAACAATATGGTTAAGCGTTAAAAATATAACCAACATTGCTAAACTAATCGAAACAGAATAAGAAAATTTTTGGCAATATTGTTATAACTTAAACATATAACAACATGGTTATCATAGCAATATTCATAACAAGATCCAAACAGAATCGACCCGATTGTCAGACAACCCATAACTTTTTAATTAATGAAAAATTCGCAAAATACCAATAAGGTTTCTTGTAGAACTCGTCGAATATTATTCAGAACTGCTCAGAACTCTCAAAAAATTTTCAAACTCGGACTTGTATTTTCTTTGGCTCGAAGTGATTTTTGAGAATATCTCAGAAACTATTGTTTTAATAGAAACATGCTCTAAAAAACATGCTGGTACAGCAAAGAAGCAAATAGTTTTTGAGATATTTCCAAAAATCACTTCGAGCTAAAGAAAATACAAGTCCGACTTTGAACGTTTTTTGAGAGTTCTCAGGAGTTCTGAGAGCAGTTCTGAATAGTAATCGACGAGTTCTACAAAAAACTTTAATGGTATTTTGCGAATTTTTCATTAATTAAAAAGTTATGGGTTGTCTGACAATATATCTAATTGATTGAATATATCTAACTGTTTATACTTGTTTATTGATGAAATTTATTATTGTTATAATTTTATAATATTCAGAAACTCTAGAACTCATCAAAATACATCAAATAAACTAATCAGAATTATTCCATTGTAAATTTAGGTCTGAAGTTAGCACCGCATATTTAAAAAAATAATGTGTTTAAACACCAGAACTATTATTTTTTGTACAAAAGAACTCCTAAACTATCCAAAAGGAATCCAAAACTCTAATCAGAACAACTGAGTACTACAATTGCGTTGCCAACTTCTCACACCCTCGACGTTAGCTGACGGCAATGTTGTTAAGTAATTAATTACAAGTAATTGAAAAAGTAATTGAATTACTTTTATTGTAATTGATGCGGTAATTAATTACAAGATCCTCAATTGTAATACATTTGTAATTCAATTACTCCTTTCGTTACAATTACAATTACATTTTACAATTACATTTCAATTACATTGGAGATAAAAGTACTTATTTAATATTTTCAATACGTGGAAAGTTTAATTTCGATTGCAAATTCCTAAATAATTATTTAAAACTGACACCAAAGCAAAGTAATTGTGATTGTAATTGTAATTGTAACTTTAATTGTAATTGTAATTACATTCGCAAATTTTGTAATTGTAATTGCAATTAATTACAATTTGCTAAAAGTAATTGTAATTGTAATTAATTACATATTATAAAGTAATTTTAACATTACTGGCTGACGGTTTAACGTGCGTTTCAGGAGCGAAACGGCGGAGAAACAGTTGCAATTGAGGACGAAGGCGATGAGGGAGAAAGATGAAATAAGGGAAATTAGAAAGTACAAGTTTTGCCTGATTAGAATCAGGTTTCCCGATGGGCTCTATCTACAGGTATATACAGCTAAAGGTGGTTTTAGATCTAGGCGATAATTGGCGACATGTAGCATGCGACAGACTTTTTTTGGGAAAGTCTCCAGTCGAACAAACGAGTTTATGTGATAATTGTAGCTTGCGAGATACCATTTATATCAAAGCAACTAAATTGTCTTAAGGGTGCCACTTTGGGGTATTTTTAAATGGGAAAATAGAGGTTCAGTAATTTCAGTAAGATTCAAATTTGGTTTTATCGATTGATTTGAATCTTTCTTATACCTAATATAAAGACTCCAAGCAATGAAATCTCCTATTTTTAATCTTTCCTACTTCGTTACATATTTAAGAAAATTGCAATTAAAAACTGCCATTTATTTGCAATGCTATTTAAATGGCAAAACTTAGATAGTATTATTACTACTTACTATTAGTACTTACTTAGATATCATTGCTTGTAGTCTCTATATTAGGTATAAGAAAGATTCAAATCAATTGATGAAGCCAAATTTGAATCTTACTGGAATTACTGAACCTCTATTTTCTCATTTAAAAATACCCCGAAGTGGCGCCCTTAACAAAACGTTCAATATCCCACGAATAGTCGCCTATTTTCCCATTTGTTGTGGATCGGCGGCAACAAGTGACAACAGGCAACATTTTGTAGCAAAATCGCATGCGACAATGACAACACTTGGCAACATGTTGCATGCTACATGTTGCCTCGATCTAAGGACGTCTTAATATTGTAACAATCAGGTCGATTCTGTTTGGATCTTGTTATAAATATAGCTGACAACACTGTAATTATCTCAATATAACCGAAAAAAGAAGAATCCTCCCTAAAATTTATTATTTTACGATTACAATTGACACCATTAAAGGCAGCTTTTTATGTGTTTCTGCGGTGGAAGAGGAGGCGGTTTTTATAAAATGATGAAAGGACTAACAAAGAAAACAAGCAAGGAACAAATGGAAGTAATTGTAATAGTAATAGTTAAAAAAATTTAAAAATATTTTAAAAAACCTAAAACAATATTAAGTAATTATTTTTATCATACATTTCTGAACCAGCGCAACTTGTAGATGAAAAGGTGTTGTATCTCTTCGGAATGGTTCTTCTAGAACTTCTAACAACTGTTGAATTAAATTTAAAGCTGTAGCCTTATTTATGTTTTATAAATTTTTCATTTAGCAAATCAAAGGGGTTACTTGTATCTCGTATTTGCAAAAAATGTAAATTCTTTTAGCTCATTTAGTAATGAAAAAAGATCGGATTAGCCATATTGCTATGTAAAGATATTGTATGTCAAATAGCAAGTACAAAAATGACATTCTTCAAATAGCAAGATTTATAACAAGATATTTTTACTAATGACAGATCATATTGTTTAAACTACACAAACAGAATAGGTTATTTCTTAGGACATTGCTATGATAACAATATCTTTACATAATAACCAATAACCATATTGCTATATTTACAAACCGAATCGACCCGAATAACTTATCGAATAACGCCATTCTTTCGACAGGGAACGTTTTCTGTCTACGAAAAATATTCAGAAGTGATGGAGTTCGTGGGTGAAAACTTAGAGCACGAAGGTTTACCTTTCTATTTGGCCGATCCGACGGGTCGACGATTGGAGGAGATCGATAAGGAGGCCAGTTTGATGGATTTGCGTTTAGTACCGGCTACTATACTGTTGTTCCATTGGGACGAGGCCATCGAAGAGGATTTGAAAGCGGCCGGTAATGTGGCTTATCTCAAGCCGGAGGTGATGTTGATGGTCGAGTCGTTGTAGGTACTATTTGTTTTTCTTTTTGATCTTTCCTGGAGGATTTTAATTTTTGGTTATTTTATTGCGTTATGCTATCTATAGAGTGTTGATGATTTTGTTTTGTAGGGGCTTCGATAAATTTTTGGTTGTTATATCAAATTCTTTTGAGTTTTTGAAATTATTATACAGGGTGAGTTATGAGGAATCGTACATACTTTAACAGTGTATAGAGGAACTTAAGGTGAATATCATACGACCATTAAAAGTTCCATCCGGCTCTTTTCTAAGGTGATACAGGGTGATTTATGAATTTTGATGAAATTTTTGTTTTGTTTATATCTTTATGGTGGTTATTTCGATTTGGTTTATTTTTTGGTAAAAGTATACATTTTGAACCAGCAACACACTGGTATATTCAGAATTAAAAAAATTCAGGAACTTCTTCAAAAAAAAAGAGGTAAATTTTTCCAATCTTAATATTTCACCCTGTATACACTTTTTCTAAATTTCCATTTGGTTAATGTAGAAGGTATAAGTAACTCATAAAGCCTGAGCATCGGAAATTTTTGCCCCACTTAGTTTAAATTGTCAATTATCAATTAAATTTTAGAAAAATTACACATTTAGGATAACCGAATAATTTACATTAAAATAATATTTTCTATCGCACACATTTTAATTAAAATTAATATAAACGACTAATTACATATTCCATTATATGAAAAAGTCCTAAAATTACAAAAAAAAATCTTAAAATTAACTCAATAAAAAATATTCAACGCGCATGATAATAACTGTTCAAAAACTATCGAAAAACACAAAAATTCAATAAAAAATCTATTCTAAATTATAAAACATGCTCAAAATGAAATGCATTTGCCATTGCAAAATCCGTAATCAAAAATAATATCAACATATTCAGCAATTGAATATTTGAATGGCATTTTTTAATAAACAAAGTGTATCAATTAGTAATACACAACGATTTAATTCTTAATTATTGACGAAAGAATGAAACCAAATGTCAAAATGCAAAAACAAAGAAAGGGTTAATTTATCAAACTATTTCAATCATTGTATCTAATTTAACTTACAGAAAAAATAATTCATTAGAGAATATTATTGAATTATTTTTTTTGTAATTTTAGGACTTTTTCATAAAAAGGAATATGTAATTAGTTGTTTTTATTAATTTTCATTAAAATTTGTACGATAGAAAATATTATTTTAATGTAAATTATTCGGTTATCCTAAATGTGTAATTTTTCTTAAAAGTTAATTGATAATTAACAAATTAAACAAAGTGTGGCAAAAATTTCCGATGCTCAGGCTTTATGAGTTACTTATACCTTCTATATTAACCAAATGAAAATTTAGAAAAAGTGTATACAGGGTGAAATATTAAGTTTGGAAATATTTACCTCTTTTTTTTTGAAGACGGTCCTGAAATTTTTTAATTCTGAATATGCCAGTGTGTTGCTGGTTCAAAATGTATACTTTTACCAAAAAATAAACCAAATCGAAATAACCACCATAAAGATATAAACAAAAGAAAATTTCGTCACAATTCATAAATCACCCTGTATCTTATTAGAGAAGAGCCGGATGGAACTTTTAATAGTCGTATGATATTCATCTTAAGTGCCTCTATACACTTTTAATGTATGTACGATTCCTTATGACTCACCCTGTATATTTCTTTTTTAGCTTTAGCTTTTTTGTTGAGCTTTAAATTTGCAAATTAACTTTGTTTTTGACTTTAGAATTATTATTGGGAACGCTTTAAGTTCAAAATTGACGCCGAATGCCCGGCGATATTTCGAAATTTGGTGCAGGAAAAGTTGCAAAAATGATCCATTAATATTTGTTTTTTACTGTTAAGCACCAATTTATGTACAATATTGAATATAATTGTGAATATATAATGAAATTTGTGATCCACCGTTTCGATTTTTTTTCTTTACATTCTATTACTGTTAGATCTGTACTATGAAATATTTATTAAAATGTAGGTTGTATATTTTTACCAGTATATTTATGCTTTATTCATCGAATAACACTTAATACGAAGATTTTTGTGTGTTTTTATATAATATTACTAATATTCTTCTAAACATGTAATTTTCCGATTCAAATATTTGTCTAGTGATTTATATACGAGAAAAGAGTGAAAAGTTCTCGGCCTGAATCATTTAGAACCATTTAAAATGATCTGGAACCGTTCAGAACACTCCGGAGTGTTCCAAAATGATTTAGAACCATCTAGGAACGCTCCAGAACCATTTAGAACACTCCACAGTCGTTTCGAACCAAATATTTCTACTTAAAAAGAAGACTAATGTAATTTTTCAACTGCAAATCGCTGGGCGAGAACTTTTCACCTTACCCTTGTAATTCTAAAATAACAGTATATTATGATGCACCGGGAAATGCATCTAATCGATTCTTCCTCAACACGAATTGAATCTTTCTATCCATATCCTCGTTGTAGATCGATTTGCATCGTTCGAAGTTGATTCTCCTACGAAACTAAAACCGGACGATGTAAATTTAGGTTATTCGAAATTGAAGGGTACAATTAGGCTCACCTGACAAGGTTTCTCGAAAAACCTGGTCCTCCTGTACTGGTCGATGAGTCCCTCGCGACCCAATATTCTGTTTAACACCCTGCAGGCGGCTTCTACGTCGTTGTTTTTCACGAAAACCGTTCTCGAAATGAAGCTGACGTGCTTTAGAGTCATTTTCTATCGGATTTTCTCGACCGAGATTTAGATTTTAATTTTCTAACCTATAAAAATATGAAAAAATGTCATGTTTGACAGTATTCTTAAATTCTTCTTTTTTATTCAGACTGTTTGGTAAAGATGTCAATCCAAAACGGAACCTGGCTGTATGCCTCAGGACAAGAGGCTATATAAACTAGAAGAAGATGTCATACAGATGGCGCCACTAGTTAGACAATTATAAATACACATATGGGAGACAGGAGCACGGTTTGTAGAATAATACGGTTACCTCACTTTGCTGGCAAAAGTGGGGGGGAATACGTCACCAGTATGCTAGAGTTTACTTGAGCCTACTAATCGTTACGAGTTTTCGTAGTTTTCTTCGTAGTTTTCTTTTTTTGTTGATGTTAATTGTGGTTTCTATTGAAGTTTTTTGAGTTTTCGTGTTTTCTTTTTATTGTGTTTAACTTCTTAGTAGTATATCAGACTATTTACAGACTATTTTCAATAATTAATTTGTTCTAAACATTATATATTTCTTTCATCGCGGAGAGTCAGGTAAATACAGGGTGTTTCATTGGGAAAGAGCAATATTTTAACCCTGTATAAAGGTCACCCAGGGGATTACAAAAAACCCATATACTATGGATCTTCCGCCCTTTATAACCGATAGTTATAACCGGGTGTTTTTTGTATTTAGCCCATTTCTTTCGACACCTATAACTTTTGAATCACTCAGTATATTTTTTTGATATTTGGCATAGATATTCTATACCTATAGTACAATTCATTGCAACATTAAAAAAATTACAAAATCCAGGTCCGGATTTAGAAAAATTAATAAAATTTGACCGACCCTAAAACAACACCCTATACATCATATATTTAAAAATTTAATTTCAAATTCAGAAAGAGCATAAAAAACTGAATGTATTCATCAACTTTATTTTCCCGCATGCCGTTTTTCTACTAAAATGTAAACGTTAAAATGAACATTATGAGATTTGTAATTGAAAGGATTTTAATTATTTTTTCTTCTATAAAACCAGATTTACTTAACACATGCATGAAAATTCTTGAAATAGACCTATTGAACTTGAATTACCATTCACATAAACCAACAAAAATTACAATTACAGATCCGCACTTAATAAAATTAAAATCGTTTATTCATATTTATTCGTTTCATCTCATATCGTTTATTTATTATATATCTCGTTTATTTATATGTTTATAATGTTTATTTATATTTACTTTGATATAAATATATTTTGTCATAATACTTTGTTTTATTTAAGAATTTAAGGCCCGAAATAACTATAATAATATGTACCGTTTAATAGGTATACAAATAAACCATTTATCATTTAATTCAAAAAATACCCGTCTTCTTTTAAATTTTAATAAATTTATGGAAAATATACTTTTATTAGTTATTATTCCTGTCCATTGTCTCAATTTTTATAATATTTTACCCTGTAAATATTATTAAAAACATTAATTTCATTACACTTGAGATGCTCGGAATTTGCCATTCGAATTCTTGTGACGTCACGAGATACCGTGCGTGATTGGCTGAAAAGTTACGAGACAACCGTATTATTCTACAAACCGTGAGACAGGAGCGCTTCAGTAACTCATCTGCCATCGTAGGGGTAGGGTTCTTCTTTTTTAACGGATAAATCAATACGATTCTTCGATAATACTCATCATTACCAAGTATATCGAGAATTTTGGAATTTTTGGCCGGTGCCTCCCTTACAACTATTTTACTTAAGTAAACTATCCATACTCAAAGGTGCGCGATGTGTTGTCAAAAAGTTTTGGCGCCATCTATTATATTTTTATCAAACTAACAATTGATTTAGTTACTACTAGGTAGACAACCAGTATTTTGCTTATTCAAAACTTGTAAATTTTTAGATAGCTCAATATAAATAAACTCGTTTATACTTTTTACGTTTTATTTAAAAACCCAATATTACTATGAAAATAATGAATGTATCACACAACAATAATTATACATCTCATCGACAATTTACAATTAAAACATAACTATATACAATATAGAGATTACAAGGTGATTTATTTAACGTGTTTCCACGTCGAATCGAAACCGGCCGCTGTATCGGAATCGGAATCGTTGCAATTGTGGGCATTGAAAATTTTCGCGGTGGTTTTCGGTGTACTGGGCGTACTGCCCGATTCCGAACCTTTCTTCCATTTCTTCTTCGAACCGTTCGCTTTCAAACTCCCTTCCTGCGAACCAGTGATGTTAAAATTACTTTATAATATGTAATTAATTACAATTACTTTTGGCAAATTGTAATTAATTGCAATTACAATTACAAAATTTGCGAATGTAATTACAATTACAATCACAATTACTTTGCTTTGGTGTCAGTTTTAAACAGTGATGTTAAAATTACTTTATAATATGTAATTAATTACAATTACAATTACTTTTGGCAAATTGTAATTAATTGCAATTACAATTACAAAATTTGCGAATGTAATTACAATTACAATTAAAGTTACAATTATAATTACACTCACAATTACTTTGCTTTGGTGTCAGTTTTAAATAATTATTTAGGGATTTGCAATCGAAATTAAACTTTCTACGTATTGAAAATATTAAATAAGTACTTTTGTGTCCAATGTAATTGTAAAATGTAATTGTAAAATGTAATTGTAACGAAAGGAGTAATTGAATTACAAATGAATTACAATTGAGGAGCTTGTAATTAAATACCGTCTCAATTACAATAAAAGTAATTCAATTACTTTTTCAATTACTTGTAATTAATTACTTAAAAACACTGCACATTACTTCCCGCTAATTTTTTTTAAATTTCAGAGCGTAAACCATCCCGGTTAACTCCGCCCATTTTACAATTATTAGATAGTGACATAAAAATGACACATTTATGACGTTTGACTTTTTTCAACTTAATTATACATTTTTTTATTAAACCAGAACGAATTTAAGAAAATTTAATGTCCATTTCGACTTATTTTTTGACGATCTTTTCAAATCTGTCATTATTTTTTACAAACGTTATTTGCAGTGATGTTAAAATTACTTTATAATATGTAATTAATTACAATTACAATTACTTTTGGCAATTTGTAATTAATTGCAATTACAATGACAAAATTTGCGAATGTAATTACAATTACAATTAAAGTTACAATTACACTCACAATTACTTTGCTTTGGTGTCAGTTTTAAATAATTATTTAGGGATTTGCAATCGAAATTAAACTTTCCACGTATTGAAAATATTAAATAAGTACTTTTGTGTCCAATGTAATTGTAAAATGTAATTGTAAAATGTAATTGTAAAATGTAATTGTAATTGTAACGAAAGGAGTAATTGAATTACAAATGAATTACAATTGAGGAGCTTGTAATTAATTACCGCCTCAATTACAATAAAAGTAATTCAATTACTTTTTCAATTACTTGTAATTAATTACTTAACAACCCTGCTGCGAACGAAAAATAAACTCGTTTACGTTTGTAAAATGAAATGGAAAAGTGCAAAGTGCCACTTACTTTGTTATTAACATTATCGACTGATCCCCATCCTTTTAGGGTTTTTTCGTTGACCGGATCGAGCGGGGTCACGTTGGCACCGCCGCCTACGCCTAAAAAGTTACTAAAAGCTTCCGTGGTTTTTTTGACTCGCACGTTCAACGAGCCGATCCTCAGGAAACCTTCTTTGTCTGCAAAATCAATTCGATTTGATCGATTATTAATTATCTGTAAATTATCTCGAACAAATTTCGCTCACCGGACTGTTTTTTTCTCCCTTTTATTTCTGAAAAAAAAGAAACGAAAATACAACGAAATTTTAATTTAACGTAATCTATGAGGGTTTCTTTACCAAAATAGAGCGGCATGCAGAGCTTCAAAACTACAGTAAAAAAGTGCTACCTATATTTACAAACAATAAACTAGAATTAACAGTTTGTTTAGTACTAATAAATAAGTTAAATTTACTACCACCTTAACTACCTTGTATTGTGTATTAGGAAATGATAGCGCATGAAATCTGTAAAATATACAAAAAAAATAAAGCCGTGATAAAACAAGTTGATTAAAAAAAATCGTGATGAAAAGCGAAGCTCTCAACGGATTATCCAAGCATAACCCAAATAATCCGTTTCGGTTCCAATTTAAATTCTCTCCTAATATAACGTTTGTTCAAAACGAAACGGAACCGTTCGGAATTCGAAACTACATCCAGAACCCAAAAATCCAAAACGGTTCCTTTCGTCCGAAACAAACCTACAATAAATACATAATTAAACTAACAAAAAATAATAGTAATACAAACACTGACTAGACGAAAAAAATAAAATAAAATAAAATACTACTAAAACGAATTCGAAAAATTAGGAAAACATTTTTTTCAAATCCGCCGCCCCCGCGCCCCCATCGACGAGTTGCTGCGGCGGCGAGATGATCTTGTTGCGAAAGCTCTTAGTCCTAGGTTTACCGAGCCAGTACTTTTTCGTGCCATACTCACTCCTCATCGTCACGATTCGATTCTCCTTCTGCTCTTTGGCCAACAGGTAGTAATCGGCCCTGCGGCCGCTGTAATCCCGAACGTTCGGATCCGCTTCTAAACAAAAATACCGTTCCGATCATTTCCACATTAAAAATTCTAGCCCTAAGATGAGGCTAATGTAAGATGAGGCTAATGTAAGATGAGGCTAATGTGAGATGAGGCTAATGTAAGATGAGGCTAATGTAAGATGAGGCTAATGTAAGATGAGGCTAATGTAAGATGAGGCTAATGAGATGATGCAATGTGAGATAAGGTTAATGTGAAGGGTACAGGGAAAAAAACCAGATATGTCACTATTTTTTAAAAAAATTGGGTGGAGGTGTCATTGAATTCTTTGAATGAAGACGCTTATTTTATAATACTAAAACCAGGAAAAAAACTGTCGTAGAAGAGTACTCTCTGGATCAATTCGAAAACGCTTTGACCGAAATCCAGCTTTAAGATGTGGAGAATTTTTGCTACCTGTTCCGATATACGATGGTAAGTTATAGGAGAGTTTTAATTAATAATGAGATTCACTTTTTTTTAATTTTTGCTACAGGACCTTTACCAAT